TAAATAACAGTATTTAAGGGGTTACCCTTATCAGAATATGTGCAGCTGTTTCCTATTGCTTTCAAAAATAATGTCTAAGTAAAAAATAAGAAGGATGAAACTTCAAACTCTTACATAAATTAGAAGGACGAAGCAGTATGCGAAAGCCATATTTTACTTGAGTACTTGGACATATAAAATTAATTTTACCTCTTGATTACTAGGCCAAACCTATTTTCCCTTTAGTTGTTAGGAAAAGTAAAATTAAGTTATAAACTTCAAGTTCAATGCAAAGAAGAAATAAATGAAATGACTGAACATGCAGCTTCCACTTCTGTGTCTGTCCCCTCTTTTAGAATGCTCAAAGCATTGTAATAAATGTTTCCATTTGAAAGGTAATGAGCTCTCTCACAAAGTTTCCCACCAGAAATCTGGTCACACACATATACATTAAGTCTTTAAAGTGCAGGAACCATGTAAAATACGTTATGAATTCATTTTCAGGCACTAATTTTATACTATTGCCAAAGTCTTTATTTGTGATTCACATAACTCTGCTTCTCTTTGGTTTGCTGGAACTGCATTTTGTATAAAAGTTCATTTTTTACTAATTCATTTGTTACTAAAATAAAAAAATCTAAAAGGTAGGCTAGAAATATCTGCCTGTGTTTTTTTGGATCCCAGTCTAGGCTAAAACTCCCTCATGATCTTCCACCCAGGAGTTCACTGACAAGAGGGAATCTGCTATTGAGGTTGACCTGCTTCATAGACAGGAGTAGTGACCAGGTGGGTATTAGAAGTCCATCTGGTGGCACATATAGTGACTTAGGCACAAATTCTTGAGCAGATTTGAGGCAACTCCTTCACATGATTTTGTGTGCAATGCCCATTCTCAGCAAAAGAATTTGAAAAGAGTGTTCTTGAGCCAATTTTAGGCATTGCTGAATACTCTCAGATACAGGTGGAGGAAAATTTTCAAGAGGGTGAAGACAAGGAACAGATGAATGTGGAGAAGCTACTGGCACCGTGACCTATTAGTGCCCCAAGTTGGTAAAACCAAAGGAGATATGGGGTAGGTAGAGTCACCTTACTCACCAGTCGAAGAATGCATAAACAAATTGAGGCATGTACATTCCTTAGAATATTACTGGACCATACAAAAATGACACACTGATCCTGGCTCCTTGGATAAATCTCAGAATCATTAAGTGAAAGGTACCAGACAGACACAAAAGGTCAATATTACATGATTCAATTTATATGAAATATCCAAACAGGCAAATATATAAAAACAGAAAGTAGATTATCTTTGTCATGGGATCAAGGAAAGGTCAAGATGGGAGCTGATTCCTCAGTGAATAGGAGGTTCCCTTTTGGGGTGATGAATATGTTCTGGAATTAGTTTGCCATGGCGATAGTACATGTTGAATTTATGAACTGGTGCAACATTACACACTTTAAAACAGTCAGTTTTATGTTGTGTGGATTTCACCTCAATTAAAAAAAACTATTTTGAATGATTAAATATAAAATCTTACTACCTTTGGAAACAGCCCATTTGCCCATCTGTTGGAAACTGGATAAAGAAGATGTGGTTTTTCTATAAAATGGAATATTATTCAGCCATAAAGAACTAGAAAATAGATTCATTCATAGGAAAATGGATACATATTGAAGATATACTCCTAAGTGAAATAAGTAAGTCACACATGTGTAAATAACAAATAGTTCTCTGGTGTGGATAAACTGCAATAGTACAGAAGATCCTAATAAGATTACTGACATTGTGAAGTGGGAAGAAAGAGGCTAAAGGTGTAGGGAAGGTGGGATGGGTAGGGGAAGGGTAATAAGGGAAAAGAAAAAAATGTGAGAGAATGAAAAGAAGGAAATAAAGTGTTTGTAGATGGGGAGGGGAAGAGGGGGTGAAGGGAGGGCAGGGGTAAGGGGAAAAAATGAGAATCAAGACTTGTCATGTAGAGGTACAAGATCCCAACAATGAATGTAACTGTACTGTATCCCTAAAATGTGCCAATAAACTTAAATAAAGCTGAAAAAAATGAAAAACAATCTTACTACCAAGGGAAATATCAAATATCTACTTGTTTCATATTTTATCTCCTCTCTTTATTTTACTTTTGATTGAGCGGAATAATAGTTTCTTTCAAAAATAATATTATGAAAACAATGGCACCTTTTAGTCTTTATTTACTCTCAAAAATTTAGTTAATTATCCATTTGAATGCTCTTAGTAACATCATATACAACTTAATATAAGCTCCATTTTATCATAAGAAACTGAGGCGCACATATTTGGAGAAACTTACTTCCAACCATGCCAAGTCATCAGGGGTGGGAACAGGATTCTTCTCATGAACACCAATGTTGGATTATGTGGCGTAAAGATGTCATAATGTTTGGAACTAATATTTAGGTCCTGTTCTATGAAGACTATATTTTAGAGTGAATAGATATATCTGTGTTATAGAAAAAGTAAATATGGTAGAGATGGAGCTACCTCTCAGTGCCTATTGCCACACTCCCTCACAGCCTCTTTCTACCTTGGCAGATTTTCCTCCAGTGTTCTGAGGCAGGCAGCTCAGGTGGCAGCTGGCCAAAGCCTACAGAGCTGATGGAAAGTGCCCGAGTTCCCACTCCTTCCTCTGATCACAAAGACACATTCTAATTCTCACCAACAATTTCCTTTGTCGCCCGTGTGCCTTTCGATATTCCATAAATACTGAGGTGAAAAGTTACAATAGAATATCAGTAATTTAGCTCTTTCCAAACTCCAGAAATGTTGGTTCCGTGTTGCCTTGATTCTAATTCTAGATTATATGAAAGAGATTTTGATAAGGACAGAAGGTGTATACGGAAAGGGTTGCTGTACGTCTTCACATGGAAAATGATTGAGAAGACCATATGTAATTTTAGGTTTTCCTAGAATGTGAGATACTCAAAGTAAACTATCATATAAAGTGCTCCTCTTACTTTGTCTCCATCACCAGTTTGGGAGCTATAGCCTGGTATTGGTATGTGTCCCTTTATATATATATATTTTTAAAATGCTTATATTTCATCACAAAACCATACTAACACAAGAGATTTTCCACTTATGGAGAAGGGTAAGGATAATAGGGGAAAAAGTGGAGATCCAAGAGGATATAAAATCGTTTATGTTTTTCCTATGTGGATTTTTTTGTCATGAGTTGCTCTAAAGTTGTCATTATTTCCCTTATGACTACTACCTGGGTAAATTATGGCCCTCCACTTGAAATGAAAAGCAGATTGCACTGCAGGCTTGAATTATCCCCTAATATTGTGTGATATATGAGCCATCTTGATGGAAAACTATTGTTATATATTTCATAGTTATGAGTTCCAAAGTATCAAAGTCCTCATTATCTCCTGGTGCTAGCCAGCTATAAATGCCCAAATACTCCAGCTTCCAGTATGTGCTTTTTTAAACTTATAGTCCTGTGTTCTGTGTGTGTTTAGCATTTTATGGTACTGCATAATATAGAACTGTCATAATTCTTTATCAGAAGCTCCAGCCAGGATACTGACAGTATAAGTTTCATTTCATTATTTCATTCCTGGATGCGGCAGACACCCCTCGATATTTTCTGTGTCATATAATCAACACCAAATGCAGTACTTAAACCGAATATTTAAAAAATCAATCAGACTTAAAATTTGATTGTATCTAATTGGCTTCCCATACTCTAACAAAATTGAATGATATAAGAATTTCACCTACTCTATATAATTTTGTACTTTCTCTAATCATAAAAAATATATTTTTTCCCTTCTTTAACCTCTATGGTAAAATTTTTTAATTTACTAAATTAATTTAACCCCTTTTCACACAGGTAGAAGAAAGTGTGTGTTTTTACTTTGGAATTAGAATGACAAGTGCAATATAATCTTGTGTCAGCCTGTCTCTTCAGGTTTTCCTTCTGCTGTGAATCTTTTCAACACTAATGGAGAGGGGATTTGTAGGGGCCTTCAGTCTGGATTAGCATGGTTTTGGGGAGGAGGGCACAAATGTTTACAGAATAAATTGAGCTAGAAATAGACAGATGTAGAGCACCTTTCTAATTCCCTAAAAACTTGGGAGAGAACTAGGTATTCCATATTGACTCATCTTTGGACAAAAACAGGCGTGGCTCACACTGTGAATCTTATCAATCCTATCAATTCTTTTGAGAAAGAACAAATATGTCAGAATGGAAAGAAAACATTAAAGCAATAGCAGAAGCTGGACGATAAGCAGAAGACCGTGGGGAAATATGTGCTTTAACTAAGATAGAGATAGAAAATATATGAAGCACATATTTGATTCTGATTTCTAACACTGCTGGTTTAATAATATATTTGAGTTTGCTTCATCCTCCCCTCACAAAAAACATTGACTAAAATAATGTTATTGTTGCTCTTTTACTGCAAAACCAAATAATGACTTTCATGGTATTTTTTTTCTTTCCACCCTCTTTCCTAAAAAATAAGAGCTAGCTGGGAAATAATCAGCCTTGAAAACTAGAGATCAAAACTGCCAGCCACTCTCAGCCTATCTTTGCCTTATCTGCCATAACTATTCTCTTGTTGGACAGCTGCTCTGTAAAGCAGGTAAGGCACGGATAGGCTGACCAGGGCTGGCATTTTCGTTTAGTTTTCAAGGCTGATTGTTTTCCAGATAGGTTTTATGTTCTTGGAAACATGACATCACTTTCTGATGGCCAAAGCACCATAGACTTAAGTCTGGAAAGCACAGGTAAGAAAAACTCAAACATGTTGAACCTGAACAATTTTTAAATACTACAAACTATGATTAATTAACATAATCATGAAAGATAGAGGTATACCCCGGATATTGTGAACTCTTATAATACTCCTTAATATAAAGAACAAGTTTAAAAATGTCATTATATAAAGATTTAAAAACTATTCCTGATAAAGTTCAAGATGAATCCAAACAAGACTCATAACTTCCAACAAGTTTTGTTTTTTTCTTTTATCATTACCTGCTTTGATCCAGATGCTTACCAGCCTGGCACAGGAATGCAGGAGTAGGACGTCTCTGCAAGAGTGAAAATGTGTGTGGTGAGCCCCACAAAGGAAACAACTGGAGATTCTGCTTCTGGGACTATGGCCTGAGGTCAATTGGCTCTCCAGCTTGTAGTTCTGGGCTTATGCACAGTGCTTTGTACACATGCCCTGCAAAAATTCTGTCCTGATAGGATCAGGAACAGTCTTAGGTGCTCCTGTTTCTAAGTTGTTTAATTAGTGAACATTCTCTTTTAACCCTAAAGACCACTTTCTTGCATGAAAATTTAGATAAAATGAAAAGGACTGTTCATAGACTTTTATTGTCTCTTCACTTACCCCCTGTGGCAGTTTTTAGATTAACAGGAATGTCTAAGTTTTACCTATTTATCTGATTTATATCTAGATTAATCCAGCTGTTGTGATTTTCAATGGCCTTAGTGTTATTTTACTGCTAGCTAAAGTTAATAAGCTCTCTCTGGACTGGTGCCATGATACGAGGTCAATGCCTAGTTAATCATGCCATTGTTTTTCCATACATGATGCCCTCTGGATTATCTGCAACTGCAATGATAATTGATTAAAAATACATCTCAGATGATGTCATTATTTAAAAAAGGAACAAATTCAATGTTTCAAAAAAAGCTTGTTTAAAATTTGCTCAAGGCTGTTGTTGAAAAATCTTTAATCATCTTATTAAGTAGATTTTGCATTCATAAAGAATATATATTTAGAATTAACATGAATCAACATTAAAATTCCTCAGAGTTTCTACTTGTAAAGTTGCATGCTGCAAGTTCCATCTATGAGCCAGGATTATATCACACCATACCATAAAGAGGGACTAAAGTGAATTGAAAGAGTTATTATTGACATGTTATTTTATGCTATGTATAAAAATCCAATTTTTATTTTCTGTACTTTCTTTAAGTTTTCTGCACGTAATACTAAAATGTTCAAAATAAAGTATTAAAAAAATGAGACATCATATGTGCTGATTAAATCTCTCCATGTATACTTGCCTGACCTTTAAGAAACCCTGTCTGACAGTATCTGCTATTCACGTAGGATTATATTCAGTAGCACTTAAGGTATTTGTTTTTGTACTTCTTTTCCTAAAGCAAATCAAGATTAAACCAAATTTTGCAAAACCATAAAAAAAGTTAAAAGGAAAACAGTACCAAAATACTAAACCAAAAAACAAAAAGCTCTACACTATTTCTGCTTTTACGCAAGCTGATCTCAGAAGAGATGATCTGCTTTACTATTTTATGCTCCTTGGAGTTAATATAACCTCTGCCTACTGACAACCACAAAGATATTACATTATGAAGATTTAGCCACTGGCTGCCAAAAGCAATCAGATCTATGAATACCGTGTGGTTTGTTTACTACATTTATATTGGTTACATGCACATAATTAAAAGAGCAAAAAAGAACAAAATCCATATTCTATTGGCTAGGAGTCTTCTATGCCTTGAGGGAATGCTTTTTAGATCAAACTGAAGCAATTCTTTTTGGAGAAGAGAGTGACTCTGAAGAAGATGTGGGAGAAATTAGAAAGTGCAAACAGGGAGTCAGGCAGAATTGGGAGGGTTCACTCCAATGCGATGTTCACTGCACTATTGATCTGCAGTCTGTTTTTCCTCTTTGCATTATGTCAGTATTCACATTTACCACTGCTTACCTTTCAAGGGACTGAACGTAGTAAGTATCCCTATGCTGTCTTTCAGAGTCGCAGGTGAAATTTAATTACTACTAACATTGGCTACTTTTCACTGTGTTATATTTGCTCAAGAAAAAGTGTAAAATGTTGTAAGGATTTGGCATTAAAGCTATTCTGCATGAATGGCTCTGTGTACCTGTTATGATTTGTGCCTGGATACCCCCCACCCCAGGCCTCGTGTGGTCAAAGGTAGGGCTTTCTCAGGACGGCTTCTCCTCTGTGATGCCCCTCTGCCATGCCACCCTGCCTTGGAGCCAGCCAACTATGGACTGAAACCTCTACAACTGTGAGCCAAATAAACCTTCCTCTTTAACTTTGAGTGTCAAGCATGTTGTCTCAGCAACTAGAAAAGGAACTAAGACAGTATCATTTACTACCACTTCTATAACAGACTTATTCTTACCAAGCAACTGCTTGGGTGTGCTACTCAGAATATCTAGCTACATACACTACTATGCAATCTCCACCCTCCTGCCCCTCTCTGTCTCTCTTTTGCATAATCTCTTATACTCATGGAGAGAGAGGCAAGCAAAACTCCAACCATTCTCATTACTCCTACTGCTACCTAGTCAGGACCACCATTATTTCATCTTTGGAAAGCATTATCTCAGGACATAAAGATTAATCACTCTGAACCCTCAGTCAGGACTTTCTCCTAATGCACATATTACTTAAGATTTGGTGGCCTCAATTATTTCCTGATCAACAAAGAGAACAAGTGGAGTTAAATGATTGCTAAAGTCCAATTTAAAATTACTCTGACCTTCTCTTACCAAAATCTTCTGCCTCGTTTGACTTCTATTTTGCAACATGAGCATATCCTGCACATCCACTCCCACCAATATCAAAAATGACCCATCTTCCTCACAGTCTACAACTTAACCATTACCAGTTTGGTTGCATCTAACTGTTAAACACAGTTTGAATCTATGCCTAAAACAATGTGGCTCATTTTCTTGAAGAAGCTTCAAACTAAAAGATATAATCGGCATTGTGGGGTATGTTAATCAGTATTGACCCCCGACTAATTTCTTTGCACCAGCATTACACTGGTGGAGGAGGCAGAGGCTCCCTGCATGAAGTCTGGCCTTGAAGACTGCTCTGGGATCCAATAGCTCAATGCCATTGTTCAATACAACTTCAGGAAGGCAGTTAAGGGGATGCTTTCCCCACCTAAGCACTGATAAATTCAGCCAGCAATGAATATTCATATTACTTTTACTTTTGTTACAAAGTTCAAGAATATTTAACAAATATATACCAAAGATCACTCTTCCAGGAGTTTTGTCCAGCTCTACGGGACTCTCTAAGCTCACTGTACTTGTCTATGATAAATCAATTCAACAGAACCTGGACTCTAATGTAATATGAGTATTTTTCCTTCTTTACTGAAGGATCATTTTAAATTCAGCAAGTGACTGGTTCTAACACCTGAATAAGGGAATCCAGAACAGGAGATATACACATGAGTAATAAGGCCAGACTGCACAGAATAAGGCAATTTTGTTGGTCAGTTTTCCTATCACTGGGACAAAATACCTGCCACTGCAACTTAAGGGAGGACGTTTAATTTGGTTTTCAGTTTCAGAGGTTTCAGCCTATGTTCCACTGTCTCCAAGGCAGGAACATGGCGGTGTAAGGGCCTGGTGGAGCAAAGCTGTTCACTTCATGGCTGTAAGGAAGGAGAACACACAGAAGAGCTCCAGTGACAGACAATCCATTCAAGGTTCCAGAACAGTGACCTACCTGCTCCAAAGTGGCTCCTCCTCCTGACAGCATAGTCAAACATTATGGGTTTAATCCACCAATGAATATAGGGCCTCCACCATCCAATCACCTTTCAAGGAGTCACTTAATCTGGTCAAGTGGACAATTAAGATTAGCACAGCAGTGAAATGTCCCAGCCCTTGAGACCTTTTTTTTTTTTTTTTGTACCAGGAATCAAACTTGGGACCTTGCACTTGCAAAGCAGGCAGAGGAACCACTCAGTAAGCTAAATCCCTGGTCCAAGGCTTTCTATTTCTTGCTATAAAACATCTTCCTCTAATCAAATACTTTTCACCAGTCATTGGGATGGTTCCTCTGCCAGTTTCTCAAGTGCCTGTTACCAATTAACATATGTCAGTGGTTCCACAACTTATTTATTGGTAAATCCTATAGTAATTCCCATTCTGTAATGATCAGTTTCACTTGTGGAATCCAGAACTTCGAATTCAGCCAAGCTTGGCTAGAGTTAATCTTCTCCTAATTTCTCAATATAACCTTAAATCTTTCAGGAACAGGAACTCTTGGGTTACATAATCCCAGGCAGTAAATGCAAGGTGAAGATTTTGAAGACTTACATCTGGTGGACACATAGAGAGTTTAAAGGATCTGTTCTTTCTCTGGAGCATATAATTCCAAGCAGCACATTCTCCTTTGCACAACCATTTTGACCTCAGTGCAAACCCTTCACATTTTTTCTCTTTTTCCTATTTTATGTGTGTGCACATTCATGTGCTTTTTTTTTTTTTTTTTAGAATGACCACAGTTCAAGAAGTTTCCCATATCACACCTTCTTTTTCCTTTATTGTGCTTTTCAAAAAAAATCTGGAATTTGGTTAAAAATAAAACTTTGGCTCAAGACTAGTGTCATCATTTCAATGAGAGGGGAAACTCAGAACTTTAAGTTCAATTTCACAGAGGTTAAGCTTCATTATCACCCCAAATAGAACCACAGTCCTGTCACTGTGATTTGCTCTCAGTCTGCAAACAAAATTTAGTAGTAAGTATGTCAAATCTTTACTTAAGAATGTTGATCAAATACTAAAAAATGAATGGCATCTTTGGGTAACAGAATAATATCTCTTCATCACTCTCTCTTCACAAGATTTCCCCCCCATTCTGAAATTCTCTCACATTCAACGTCCAATGTGAAGACACATGATCAAAAACTAGAATATATCATTGATCTTTCCTCTTCTCTCTCTGTTTTTTCCAATCTCTTTATCAACTATGGATCTGTGTTTTAAACTTTTTATTGTTCTCATTTGTCATTCACCAGAATATAATAAATAAGTAGATTTGGGTGTTATATAATTACCAAGAGTTCCAAGAGTTTTTTTTTTTTCCTAGAACTGGGAGAAAGGAGAACATTGGTTTCATGAATTTGCTGCCTTGCCCTTGTATAAGTTCATTCAAACTCACCTGAATGTGCTCTATCACCTGTGACCTAGTTAAAATGCTCCCTCCCCAAGCAACTTTCTGAGAAATGTCTTGCTCGCTCTTCATCTTCCTGAACTATAACTTCACACATCTCCTAGCTTCTCACTATAATGAAAACTAGTGGTCAGTAACAGAGTCCTGTATGTGAGTTCTCTTTCCATGGGAGACTTT